GGGAATGATCCAATCCATCACATTCGTAATTTCATCATCCCAGCAACCCCAACCCATCCAGCAACCCATCCAGCAACCCTACGTAAAACGCAACAGTGAGTTGCTGAACATGTGGCCTCATCTCCATGGCTTGGACGTGGAAACTGATGCAAAGTCCTCAGGAGTCGCACTCAGTGGGGTGCTCGGACTTGGCGCAGCCCAAACATCAAAAGTCCTCCGGTCCTCCACTTTAGAATCATGAGTCAAAAGCCTGGTACCCTTGGTACCCTAGATTTTTTTTTTAGATGGTTAATGGATGTTGTTCTCAAAAATATATAAATATATGGGAATTTGGGAATTATGTCATGCTAGGTTTTGACCCTACATTCTATACATGTTTTGATGCAGTCCAACACTTCACCTGGGTGCTGGGAACTAACAAATTCAAATCGGGATCAATGCCATGGAAACTGGTCAAAACTTCAGCTACCTGAAATGGCTCCGAGCTGGATATAACTTACCCTCTGGGAAATTAACAGTTGGACCCTGAAAATAGCCTAGTTTTAATGGAAACTAATCTTCCAACCCCGATAACTGCCAGGGTCTATGTTAATTTACCAGAGGGTACTTCATCCTGTTTCTTCCCGCTTTGTGCCCCTTGTGAAATAACTTGTGTTCCAGTCCATTGAATGGGGATGGGAGAACCACTTTCGCTGAAGATGAGTGGGTCGGAATAAACCTACTGGACCTAGCGACCAAAAACATGAACAAAAAAACATGGAATTTACAATTCTTCAAGAATGGTGCTGGTCCGCATAGTGGTTAGCTGTGACTTCCTGTAACCAAGTAAAACATTTAACGGGCACTGACCACGGATGAATGGGCTATAGTTCTATGGCTACTAAGCGCGGGGATCCAAAGTTCCTGGGTGTGACTCAGCCACAAACCTATATACATCTTTATTCTGAGCAGTGGGGAAGTGATCTGGGAGTGAAAACATGTGAAAACCTATGGTTTTTCCCCTTCTGTTCACACCAAAATCATCCAAACACCGGAGTCGGATCTTCATAGGTAGCTTGATCCATCCCCAGATCATTTCTTACGACGCCACTCGTCGCCAAGTTTCAATTCCCCTGCCGCTGATACGCAAAGCACCTCGCGTAGTCGTCGGGCTGAAGGGAGCTGAACATCTCAAGGAGTGAAGAATCTTCAGTTTCGTCATGGCTTATGATATGATATACTTTATGCTATGATTATAATATATATGTATATAGCATAGGACATACACTTAGAACACTATTTGGAAAACGAAAATCAAAGATCGCGCAGCTAAATGTGTTCTAAGTATGCACTTAGAACACCCACCAAAACCCATACACTTAGAACATGTTCTAAAAGGTACTTAGAACACTTTGGGGGTAATTTATGTGTTCTAAGTGTATGTCCGCAATTGAAATTATGTAAGGATTGGTACAGCCTTCAGCAGGGGTCAATGGATACATAGACAATTAATGTGATAAACCCAAAAATAGACCATCCCATTAAATAATCATTTGGGCCACATGTGGAGGTCATTTTACATCATCTCAAATAGAGCTATACCGAATATTATCCAATTGGACATATCTTTAGAACAAGTTAGGGTAAATTTCACCTGCAGCAAAACGGTGTTCTAAGCGTATGGAAAAAAATGGAAAACAATTTGTGTTCTGAGTGTATGTCCTATGCTATATATATATAAACATATAGGCTATGATACACTATACATTCTACAGATTAGTCATGGTTCATTATCGTTTATGAGATTTTCCATGGTCAAAAGATGGAGTCAACTATGCACAGAAGTACTGCAGCTACTGTAGTCTCCTTGCAACCACGGTATGGTGGCAAATCCTTGTGTTGCTTGTCATGTTCATCCCAATTTGCAAGGGAAACTTGACCAGAAACAATGGTTTGTAGCAATACTAAATGAAGGATATATCCGGTATGGGGAAGTGACTCATCTTATGAACATCATGACGTTCACTCATTAACATTTTTCAACAGTATGGATGTTCCAGGTAGTTGGCCTACGGCGGATAAACGGCCGTGTGGTTTGATGACTTTTTATGCTTGTTTAATGATGTTTAATGGTTTTGTCATTGTATGACTGTCTCACAAATACGCCAATGCCATATACATGGGGGTGCAGTTGGGTGGGGTGGGGGGCAGGGCGGCAATAACGTTCAAGTAGAAGTTGCACACGGAATGAATGCACTTACCACACATCCACAAAGTTGGTTTGATTGACACAGATCAAGTTTCGTACACGGAAGATGCTACGCACACGGACGATGTCATGTTACTGGAAGGGTGTTGAGTACGGAAGGTGCTACGTTACTGGAAGGGTGTTGAGTTACTAGAAGTAGTTTTGAGACAGCGGCACGGGAGACGGGGTATATTGATACGTTTATATTTATATCATGTTATACAATTTTATATCTTTATATAATATGGTGATATGATGTGATATATCATATGTTTACATGTTTGACTAGAAAGTACTACTGCTTCACGACGCCCATTTGGAAGAATGTGTCAAACATTGCAGGCACCCAAGTTTTAGATCGAAGCTGGCAAAGTTTGGTCACCCTTTTGCCAACACATGTACATCAAGTGCAAAGAGAAAGATCACAGCAAGATGTACCCCATGTTCCTCAGTATACACGTGGGCTTGGAGTAGACAAAGTCTTCATCTTCAGTCTCCCACACCAACGGATATGATTGAGAAACTTTAAGAACTGCTGTGACGAAGAACTTCGATGGTAGTTGCGTCAATTCCAAAAACCTTCAAAACCAACCCCTCGCTGAGGTAAAACTACCAATTTGGCAACTTCTGCCTGTAACAGCCGCATTGAAAAGCACAAACATGTGCTCCATGTGAAAACCATCGGAACAGCGCACTGGAAACAGTCACGGAGCACATTGAATGTAGCGAACCGACACTGAACGTTAGTCCTAGTACAAGTAGTCCTAGTTTACCCCACTGAACGTTAGCTGCCCTTGCCCTCGTCCAAGCCTGTGGTTCCTTTGTTGGAAGGGGCAGCAACGTCACCGCCTGCAGAGCAGAGGTTTGGGTGAGAGTCTTCAAGGTAGGAGCATGCATGTAGACTGCAATAGCAAAACAAATCGACAAAAAACATGGCCAATCGTAGGTTGCCTGTGGTTGTCTTTGTTGTTGTTTGTTGCATTTTGCTAGTTTGTGTAAATCTCAATTCATGGCAAACAAGAACATATACTAAACGATCCATCCAATCTTTACCCAGAAAATGTTGAAGGAACCCAAATGTTCCCATGCCAAACCAGGATACCCCCTGCTCCTGCATTGGGCAATACCTCTTCTGGTCTTTCAAGATTGGGCCAATGCAGGCTCCAAAGGCGTCCCCGTTGAACAAATTCGAAAAAAAAAACAAAAACAAAAAAAAACATCTCCCAACGTCTGGTGAATTTAGCCCTACCATATCCCTATCATTTAAGATCATTGATAAGTAGCACCTTTCGGAGCGGTCAGGATCATCCTCACAGGAACCTTTGGGAATTTTGGAACCATTTTTTTGCATGTCTGATAGGTGGGTGCATAAAAAACATATGGCCATCAAATGATAGAAATATATAGAAATGATTCAGTAACAACGATGATTTAGCCATTTTTTGGGGCCATTCAGAGCCCATCCATTTTCGCCCATCGGGCCCATCGAAACAGAATGCCATCCCCAAATCCCCGGACAGGTCGGTTTTGCCACCTGAGATTCCATGGCAGGTCATCTTGCCCTTCTCATTATCTGGTGCTTGATTAAGGGAATACTGCTGTGGTAAGAAAAATCAAGGACATTTCAAATATATATCTATTTGTTAATATATATATATATACATATACTGTATATAATTATATATATATATATATGATATAAGAATCCAAACTTGCCTTAATCGGAACGCAACGATGATCGTTGTTCATTCTGCAGTGGGATTCTTTGCAGTGCCTCGAATCATCTTCCAGTGAGAGCCCAATGGCTGCACCAAGACAAAGCATGACAAAGTGCGTCTCCAGATGATACCACCGCAGTAGTAAGGTTTTCTTCTTAGTATCTTGTTTTGAGACTTCTATAGTATGAGGATGCAGAGACTTTCACCTGCAAGAATGGCAATCATCCCAGAGAAAGGAAGACCTTGAGGTTGCAAAATCTCCGGACCACTCAGGCTGCTGTATTTGGTCTGTACCATGCCAAGTGCAGGTACACAGCACTTCTTAGAAGTGTCACTTTGTAGGACGTGATACGCCTTTGGCGTCTTCGGTGCCAGTCAGCCCCATACTGCCATGGCGAACACTTCATCGAAGAAATCATGTCAGTTATAGGAACCATCACTGAAAAACCGCCCAAATCGAAACGGTCCTTGCAAATTGTTAAGCAAACCACCGCAAGGATCTCCAAAAGGTCTTGGGTGGTGATTCATAACGAGTTATACCGGTGGGACATGATTTTGACCACATCCCACTTGCGAAGATGGAGCAAACTCTGGGGAAACCTGTTGGTGCTTCTACCGAGCAATTCTGCCAAAGGCTCCCCATTGGGTGATTTAGGCAAAACACAGGTCGCCAACACGCATTCCCTGGGTACTCAAGGAAAGATTAGGAATAAACACCCAAAGAAACTCTCTGATTTCAAGGTTAACTTTCAAAAGGCTTGAACACGTTGACCCGTATTTGCGGTACTGGTTTATATTATTTATATGATAACTTATATGGCCACCCTCCATGCCACAGATTCAGCATTGGTCCGGCCTCTAGTGCTAACCCTACATAACCCTACATAACCCTACAAAGCTTGTTCCAATCTAATTAATACCATGAGTGGTCTGAGTGGTCCCAAATATGTGTAAATAGTATTAACATATTAAATAGCAAACTAAAACATTGTTTCTGAGGGGGTGCTACTTAAACCAAGATTATTGTTACATCCAAAATCCTAATGGTATCAACTCGACCTTTCAGAACAGAAACAATTCGGGGCAACCGCGGCATTCTACGACTGGAAAATCAGTACCTCTACAGCTGGTCACTGACGCCTGGGGGAACTTCGTAGAGCCGCTCGGAGTCAGGATTCAACGGCGACCAAATGATACTTGCAGATGGTGTTTTCCCTAAAATACCGTGTGTTTTCTATCATCTTTGGGATAGTTTTAAGGATCAATATATATATATATATACATACATACATACATTATATTTATACATATATATATATACAGAGCGATTTGGTAGTTCCGAATGACAGCGACGTCGCTAAGTGTGCTGATCATTCTGGCTACGCGGCTACTCCTTCACCGAATGCCAACGTTGGGGTAGTGCACTTCAGCTGAAAAAATAGTGAAGTGCCTACAGGAAACAAAAACTGCTCAGCATTGTGGTGCTTTGGGGTTGCCAACTCAAAGGTTAATCCAAGAGCAGAACACACAGTGAACAAACAGGATGTTGAGAATGTGAAACCGACACTCCTTGGATACGTCATGTTTAAAAGCAATATCTTCAACATACTGCCCAAATGCGAGGAAGCCCATTGCGTCGAAGCTTTTCCCGTACTGACCATCATGTGTGGCGAGGTCAGCCAGGTTGAAAAATAGTTTGCTCAGAAACCATTGATTCACTGATTACATGGATGTTCATCTCTCCAATCTATGTGAAACAAATGGTTTCAAACTAGTTACATCAATCTTGCATTAAAGTTTAACAATGGAAATTTTCACAGCATGTTATAAAAATGGTTTCATAAACCCAGTCATGTTACATAAACATCATAAACATTACCATCTGGTTATGACTAACAGTTCGCCATGGAAAAAGATCCACCATGCTATTTTCTGTTCGGTAAACCATCTAAACATATCTAAACCATCTATTTCGATTATATAGGGCCATCATGGGCCATCAACAAACCATGGCTATCTTGGTCATAACCAGAGGGTGTTACACATGTTGGAGCGTCCCCGTTTCAACTCGCTGCGCCTCGCTCAAAACTTCGCGTCTTCACCATCCGAGTCCTGGAGCGACGCTGGAGAATGTCGACCGAATCCTATGGGAACATGATCTACCCGGCCTGGTAAACATACAAAAAACTATGGAAAATCATCATTTTTCATAGGAAAACCATAGGAAAATGGTGGTTTTACCCGCTGGTAAACTAACATAACTATGAAAAATCACATTTTTTTTTATGGAAAAATCCACTATAAAAAACAATTTTCAATAGCTATGTTAGTTTACCAGAGGGTACTTGGTGGTTTCAACTCTGAAAAATATGACTTCGTCAATTGGGATGATGACATCCCATATACGGAAATGGAAAATAAAAGCCATGTTCCAAACCACCAACCAGTGATTCTCTTCCCGAAAAAACACAGCTGGTGTCATCTTGAGTGATCTTGCGTCAATTTTTTGCGTCATTATGGTGGAAGTGAAATTTCTCCGATAAATGGTTCAACTCGTTTTTTAAGGCCAGACTCGGATGACATTTGATATGGAAACCACGTTACCAAAACAAACCTGAGGTTCAAGTTCAAAAGGTAATTTTCCAGACTCTGATTCCTACCTGCTTTCACAATGTGAAAGTTGCAGAGGTTACGCACCATGAACAATCGTCTACAGTTTCAGGTCCCATTTCGCCCAGTTTGAATATCCAACATATCGTTTGAATATCCAAAATATCGTGAATTGACATATCAATGTTCTTCAACTTGCAGATCACTTCCACCAGGACATGCGCTGTATGATATATGCAATCCCAGATTGAGTGGCCGGCTGCTGAAGCTTTGCGTCCGACAGACTTGTTTTTTGTAACTGGAATCTGGAATATGTTTCTGCTTCCCTAGCAGCATAAAAAAGAACAACTGCAATTTAGCAGCGTCAAAAACCGTTTAGACGATCCCTTTGTAATGCTCAATCCGTTGGCTAGTATCAACCCCCTCCAATCTTCAACCAACTGTTTTTTTTTGAAACAACTCAACTGAAATCACCAATATTACAAATTCAACAAGTTTCCAGGTATCACTGCAGGTCATTCCCTGCTAGATGAAGATGCAACTTGCAGGTCGTATCCGAAAACCGCCAAACAAAGTCCAAACTGTGGTTTAGCCATGGAAAATCACCATGCTATTAATAGGTAAACCATCTATTTCTATGGGCCGTCTATACCATGGCTATGTCAAATAACCAGAGGGTACTAGTCAAAGCATTTCGAGGCTATACCTATGTCGCTGGCTGTCATTGACCATCTATTCTTGGAACCGATCCACTTGGATGTGCATCCCAGGATTAGTGGCCAATATCAGTAAAATCCCGAACATAGCCCAATTAGATGAATGGGTTATATGGGGCATCAAACCACTCACTGGTTAGCAATCATATACTTATGTTTGTAAGTTATACCCTATTTGTGTGCATATATATATATATATATATAAAAACTAATCATATATATGCATGCATAAAATATAATAATATAAAATATAAAATACACTAATGTAATGTAATATAATATCAAAACATAAGATAAAGTATAATATAATATAATATAATAAAACATAATATAATATAATATAATATAATATATTTAATGTAATATAATATCATATAATGTAATGTAGTATAGTATTAGTATTAGTATTAGATTGTTAGTATTGGTATTAGTATTAGTATTAGTATTAGTATTAGTACTAGTATAGTATAGTATAGGAAAGTATAGTATAGTATGGTATAGTATAGTGTCAGTATAGTATAGTATAGTATAGTATAGTATAGTATAGTATTACATGATTAATAAATAAATATATATATATATATATATGTATTACATTAATCTAATATACTAACCCACAAATTAGCGACAATGATCATACGATCACAAGGGTCACTAATCAACTTGCCAACTGCAACCACCACCTGCCCTCCCCTCCTGTGCAGCTGCTGCTGGGGCCACTGCGGCTGCAGCCTTCTTCTTGGGCCGCCCGACCTTAGGTCCCAAACAGCCCAGGCTATCAATCCGAGGTTGTGACTATACCATGGGATACGTATGGATATCTGATCAACAAAGTATGGGGGTACTTGTATCATGGGAATTAATGATACGTCTATATTACATACTGTTGACAGCTAACTATGATGTTTGGTTCGTCTGAACTTGAGGACATTAGCCATCAAAAGTGCAGTTTCAAGCGGGACGAAGCAGTGGATGGAATGGGGCGCCCTGTTAAAAAAAAACAAAAACATATCTTAAAATCATACATTTGCCCCATGTGTACTTGTGGATCCTTGGGTGCGAATATTTCAGGCATGCCCGTCAATCATCTAATCTTTGTGTGTGATCAGCTTCGTCGAAGCATCTAAGCAGCAAATTCTGGTACTATACCATGTAATTAACCAGATATGTGGTTGCAAGGAAACACAGTTGAGTGGCAGTGTCGGTCACCAAACCCAGATCCATCCATCATGATATATGCATCATGCAAACTTGTCGTACCTGTGACTATCTGAATATGGGTCCATCAAACGCAGCACGGTCTTGTACCACATATCTCCGACAAAAGATATCATTGTAAACGTGGTTGAACCAACATTTTGGGTTATTCCACACCTTCGCTGTTCATTGTTTTCAATGTTTTGCGAGTGTCAGGCTGAAGCAAAATCATTCCATCATCAAACATGATGTCAACCTGGTATCTTTATTCGCCCCTACTATCTAATAACTAATATGTTTGGGTACCATTCAAGTATGGCCAACGATCGCCTAATTTCGGGCTTTACAGTATTGTCCCTGTTGACATGAACTATCTGAACTATCTTGACAAGCAGATTGGCAACTCTGAGTTCGAGGCCGGCTTTTTGCTGCTACTACCTGGGGTGTGCAGAAATCAGTGACACACCAATGACTTTGGGAGATACATCTTCAAAATTTGCGCGTTTGGGTTTCCTCCGCAACATGGCCATTTTATGGGACATGTTCAGCATGTTCCGATGGGACATGTTCTTCCAAAGCACCAACTGTGCATCGAACGGGGAGTTTTCCACCAGATCTCAGGTCGCTGCTGGCGGTCCCATCTTCCGCCTTGCTTCCATCTGGCCCTCGGGAAGGGCCACTCGGGGTTGTCCAAAATCATCACCATCACCATCACCATCACCATCACCATCACCATCATCATCATCATCATCATCATCATGGATTATCCCCATTTCTAACTTGGGCCACTAAATCAATTTGTATGGGACTCTGCCATGAATTGCAGGGAAATCCATTTTTTTTTGGGCCAGAACATCTGAGGCTGACTGCGGCCTGAGAACCCCCACGGCCTTTGGGTTTTCTGGCCTGACGACCCAGCAGACTGGTCTTTTTTAGGGGGACATTTTGAGGGAGCATCACGTTTCTTTTTTGGGGTTGGGGGGGAGGCAGGTGTATCATCTTCAGGAACCATCTAAGTTTTTTCCTGGGGAAATTCGAGTACCTTTCGATGGATCGGACATGCTGATAAAGTCTGGGGTGGTGTGATACATTTCGGGGAACTCAGCATTTTTCTCAGGATGCCTTTGGTTTTGGATGTACTGGGATGCATATCATCAAAATTAAATATAGATCCGGTCAACACTAGCTTTTTGTTGCACCATGAGGCATCGAGGATGATTTCTGTGCATCATTCCATACCCATTGCGGTCGGTGAACTGAGGTATGGAACCATCAACAAATAGATCATGCCATGCAGACACGTACCCTATACCACAAAAAAATAAATACGAACATGTTGTTCAACATTCTGAAGTCTCAAAAAAAACACTATTGTTCCAGATTTGTTTGTTTTGATTCTCTTTTCAGCCATTTCAAGTAACAAAAACATCCATGAGAATTTGGGCTGTGACTGTCATGGCGTCCACGCCTTCTTGGGGGCATCGACTCCGGAACTGCTCTGGCTTTTGGAAGTCTCGCTCCTTGGCAGTGACCATGAAAAACCATGTTCCAGGATTAAAACTTCAATTTGATGCGGCCTAACATCTATGGGTTAAGATAATTGTGATATGGTCATTGTGATATATATATATATCATATATATAACATTATATATATATATATATTATGTTTTTTTTGAGAAAGGATTTTACTAGTCAATGGCAGTGCCGGTACCATTTAGAATTTTGATTTTTTTCGCGGGAGAGCTGACATAAAATCTAGAGGCCGTCACGTGAGAAAAATATAGGAAAAATGATGTTCTAACCCATGGGATATGTGAGCGCCTGATTTTGAGACAACCCCATCAGCTCCAAAATTCAATGTCTACATATCCAGTGGTCACATGTTCAAACATGACAGGCTCCCATACCGCAGCCAAGTTGGTTCATTTGCCTAGGTTGGCTGTAGTTTATTTCGTCTATATTTCTATCATGAGATAGGGTTTAAACCAAGTTGCGTGGGGTCCCGTACTGAACTTGTGGCTGGATCCCAGTTGTTGTTTGAATTTTCATGGAATGGGTTCCAAAAAGACATGACAAACACATCTCTCTTCGGCAGTAGTTGGCATGGGTACAGGTCAAGATGTGAAACCTTAGAAGAGAGGCTCGGTCATTTTGAGGTATGGAAGATCACTATCTATCTATCTATCTACCTACCTACCTAGCTATCTATCTATCTATCTATCTATCTATCTATCTATCTATCTACTATATCTATCCATCTATCTATCTATCTATCCATCTATCTATCTATCTATTTATCTATCTATCTATCTATCTATCTATCTATCTACTTATACCATCTTATACCATCTTATACCTATCAATCTATCTATCTACCTATCTAATCCAGTCTAATCTAATCTAATCTGCTCTAACCTAATCTAATCTAATCTAATCACTTAATCTAATCTAATTTAACCTATATAACCTGTCTTATCCATCTAATCTATCGAATCCATCTATCTAATCTAATCAAATACAATCAAATCTGTTCTTTCTTATCTTATCTTATCTCATCCCACCTATCTACCTATCTAATGCTCCATGTCCCGATCCCAAGCCATGATGGCAACATGTGGCAAGGACGTTTGGGTATCGCTGAGGGCACTGGAGTCACTGGATGGCATCTATATATCGCTACTTGGATGTGCATACCAGTAACTGGATAATAACAATTTTTTGTGACCGAGCTGGTATGTGGAATAGACCCCGGTTGGGTTCTTGGCTTACTCGTTGAGATGCAGCCCCATAGCTGGTATCTGAAAACAACAAAGCCTCCGGTCATCAAATATGGCATGCCGGAAATTCCCCATTGAGTTTGATGATTTGCCCAGGAAGACTCCATTTACCCTCTGGTAAACTAACAGTTTGCTATTGAAAATGGCCATTTATAGTGGATTTTCCCATCAACATTGATGATTTTCAATAGTTATGTTAGTTTACCAGAGGGTAGTTCGGGGATTTCCCAGCCATGTCTGCCAAGCTGCCGCCTTTGAGGTACTTGGCTGGGACGGCGCATGGTGGCCTTAAAAAAAGAAGGCGGTGTTTCACATCGGCGTGTCAAAACCTTGAGAAATCCTGTGTTTCATGGTTCATTCCTGTATTCATATAGGTTTCCATGTTTGTGGAATGGAGTCGCATGTAATTATACACATATACTCAAAGTGTATCTATATGTATCTATACTCCATAGATAGCCAAGTTCGTATTAACCCCCCAGGTCAAAATCCATTGGTTCAGGTTTTCACCCCCAAATAATGAGCAACCAAACAATGGGATTCATGAGATTTGAATCCATTGGTTTGTCAATGGGATTCATGGGATTTTTTGTGTGAGAAATTGCTTTGAATCCTTGGGTTTTCCATTCATTTTTGAATCCAATAATTAGCATTTTCCAGAAGGGTGTTGTTTAATATGTTTAATACAAGGTGACCACCCATGTCGATTAATAGGGAGGGACCAAGTCAACGTAGTATTGCCAACAAAAACTTGGAATGTGGGTGTTGATTAATTTCGGGGGTGCTTATGAATATGAACTTAGCATTATATATATATATTATACAAGATTCCTTGTAGTCCTTTAACCCTTTAATCCTTAAAGTGTAGTACAACCCCCTATAAGAATTTACATATACGTTACATGTGTATATAATATATATGGAAAACTTTTGGAAAACAACCATTATTTTTCCAGGACTTAATCTATATTGATAATGAAATCGTGGATTTTCCATGTATATGTTCATCTACTGAATGGTATGTTTAAGTATTGCGCATATATCGATATCTTTTTTTGGTGGATATCTACAGTCAGGGGTATGAATCTACAATTCTCACTTTTTTGAACTTCTAGGCATTGTATGTGATTTGTTACATATAAATTTAAATATATATATATATATATATAAATAAAAATACACAAAACATAGAATCAATCATATGACAATGAACAACAAACATAGTCCATTGAGTTGTGCCTGTACTCAGCACAATTCTACTTCGATGGTTAACCATGTAGACATATATAATATGTGTATCATATGGGCAGCCGTCAAAATCAATTGTTTACGCCTGGTGAAAAAATAAAGTTATCGGTGTTTTAGGGGTGCCCTATCGCTTTACAGTGTTTTGTTCAAATCAAGATTGAATCATGCCTCGTTGGTGGTTTCAACCCCTCTGAAAAATATTAGTCAGTTGGGATTATTATTCCGAATATATGGGGAAAAATCATGTTCCAAACCACCAACCAGATGCAAACATGCCGCGGAATTGGTTTCATGGATTCAGATCTCTAAACTGCCAGGGATGTTTTTTTTGGGGCACTCGTAGTCTGGGACAGTTTGCCATGTTTGGGCAGCTATCTAAGCACATTCCTAGAATCTTCCTAAGTAAGGACATGAACTAGCAAGACAGAAATCAATTATAAGATCAAACCATGAACTAACTATAAGATCAAACCAATCAAAATTAAACCTTATAACTATTAAGATCTATTAAGATCAATGGTTCCCAACGATTATAAGATCACTATTTCAAAAACGAAAGGTAGGGTCACCTCGCCCAAACGTCCCGATGGATGGAGCCATGGCGTCAACGCCACACGAAACCCCCGTTCAAAAGCTTTAGAAACTTCCAATAAAGAAGCGTTTGTGGCTATGAAGAAGTGCATAAAGCTCCCCCAAGTCTCAAAACAACCTGATGGCCTAGTGTTGAGAACCTGTGCACTCTTTTGTTGAGCCCTTCTTCTTGTTGGGATCAAATGAGTCTATATATATACATATATATATCCCCTATCCGGGCTCCCTTTTTGAACAAAAGCTTATCGCTCGGTTATCGCTAAGGTTATGGCTAAATTAGAACACTTTGATGATCAAGAAAGGAAAAGAAATAGGAACGTGGAACAAAACGGACAATTGGAAAAAATCAAAGGACAAATAAAGGAAGAAACAAAAAAGGAAACAAAGGAAGAAGAAAGGACAAATCAAACAAAAGGGAAATCAAAGGAAATAAATGGAATGTAGAATTGCATTCAAAATCAAAATAATGTTGATTAACTTCAGAATTAAAATGCATTCAGTTTTAAAAAGGAAAACAAAGGAAAAAAAAAGGAAACAACGAATGACAAAAATTTCATTAAATTAAAGCACGAAAACGGAATTCAGAATTAAGTTGTAAACTATGTTTTGATTTAATTCAGAATTTGGTTGCGTTCAGTTCAGTTTAATTCGATTGCTTTGGGGGGAGAAAAAACAAACTGCCTGCAGAAAGCAACGGTTCAATCACCTTGGACAACAAATGATATGGCCACTGCAAGAAACGTGGGCACTGCAGGTTGAATTGTTTTCATCAATTTTGCCCATCGCGTGAAGGTGTACAAGTTTACACCAAGTTTAATGCACTCTCATATGGTTACAAGTTATCGCTTTTTTTTGGGGGGCTATCGCTTTACGTGGTTTGGTGCACTTTCTCAACACAACTGGACCCTTCCCTTACTGAAGTAGTCTACGCTTATTTTGACCGCATCTCATATGTATATCATGCAGTATCTATAATGTTAAGTCCCATACAAATTGCTCAAAGTATCTCAAAGTAATGTAAAAGGTACTAAACATAAGTATCTATGATGTACACCTAAAGGCACTAAACAATACTAAACATATGGGGTAAACTGCCCATCTTTACAGGTACTTGGAGGGTCAACCGGTCTATCTCCTGTACTGTTGCACCTCCACCGGTGTCGAAGGCAACAAAGGGCCTGGTGGAGGTCTCAATGGAAAACCGTAAACATTTGGAGGTTTTCATGGGAAAATCCCGAAAACATGGAGGTTTTAATGGTCAAGTTATAGCCTCTTGGTATAAAAAACAGATTGCTATGGTATAGATGGCCCATAGCTCGATGATTTCGTTGGACATTTGGTGATTTTCCAGTTTACGTGGACTTACGTGGAATTTCCAGAGGACAAATTGAATTCATCTACAATTGGCGAATAGTTAATGGGAGCGATACATGTATTTTATTAGAGAGAATTACTGACACTGTATATCCAAACCGAGTTTTTTTTAGTGGAAAATCAGGGGAGCGAAGAAACTCATGTAAAAAACGGAGCAACTTGACCGGACATTGAGACATCAGCGAAATATCGACTTTAAATTGTTTTAGTCGGAATTTATTCTTAAATTTCGTTGCCAGATTGGACCACATAACTTTACCTACCTCAAAGGTCATTGGAAGACTAAGCTATGAATGGTCAATCTCGCGTGAACCTTGAGACATCCTACAAACATCTACAAACCCCATGTATCCGAGAGAATGAATGATGAAGCAGCTACAAAAGGGAAATCGCATTGTTTCATCATGGAACCAGATATTTCAATGTAAACAATAGTAACATAAATCCTGGCTGTTTTAACATGAAGCAATCACATTTCTGTTACTGTCTGTTACTATTCATCAATGAAACCTGTTTCATCATTCAGCATTAAGTGATGAATAGTAACAGACACAGCTTCGGTTTTGTAGGGATGACCCGTTGGGACGCAGCAAGGAGTTGAAAAGAATATGGCTCAAGCGAGCAAAGCCATGTTAATATATGTTCATATATGTTAATACTTTTAATATGTATATATATATATGTTAATGCATCTTATACATGGGGAAACTCGCCAAGACCAATCGGTTTTTCTGGGTTCGTCCCATATGGCAAAACCACCAAACAAATGATTGTTTTTGCTCAGCTACGCCAGCTATGCATGTCGCCAGCTACGTAGTGTCTGGTCTGTGAACAAAACACAATTCATCAGTTTTGGATCGTACAATGAGCACTATTTACCAACCGTAAATCAATCCAATGTAACAATTAAATATCAAACACATCTATAAATAAAACACATTCCAAGACATTCGAAGACATTCCAAGACATTCCAAAACCATACGTTCCGGAACCTGGACCTATGCGCACTTTTTTTTTACCCACATGCATGAGGTCTTGTCGCTTCTATGCTTCAAAATTGGTGGTATTTCTTGCTCAATCTGTGGCTGTTTCCTCTGGAGATCTTTCACCAACTGACACAATGCAAGACCTGATGCAATCTTATATTGAGTATAATTATATATATATGTATATAATGATGTATATATATACATAATGATGTATATATATATTGTATACCGTATATATATATATATATATATATTGTATACTGTATATATATATATAATATCTATATTGTATATATATACACATTGCGGCCTGTGGTCTTGAATCCCATTCTAACATATTCAAAACAAATTCAAAACCATCTGGTACCAGCGTCCCAATGAAACATGTTTGTAAAAAAAATACTACTGTACCATACGGTATCAGCAAATCTGCGGGTTTAGGATGGTTTAAAATAGCATGTGGGTTTATCATGTGGTTATTTTTTAGGATATCCATGTGGTTTAGCAACAATTGAATCAAACTGCACTTTTTGGATATCCCTAATTTTGGACACGCCAATATCGAAAAGTGAATGTCCCATGCGGTAGACATGGCAACGGAACATCTACTCCCATTGAGTTCGATGATTTTCCAAACTGTAAACCTTCAGATCGTGGGATTTCCCAGCCAGCCATGTTTCATTATCCGCAGGTATTTACAAAAGATGTTTGTGATAGATCCCATGTCCTCAGAAAAATCGCACCATTCGATCCCCATGTTTCCCACCGTCGCCTGTATCCTCGTCGCTATCAGCAAAGGGGTCAGCACTTTTGGCCTCATCCAGGGATCTGGGACGCTGTGCTGCTGCCCGATATGTGGCAAACACAACAATAAGTCATGGCTCAATAGAGGTTTATTACTGGGTATACCACGGATAAAACATGATAACAATCACAAATTTGTTTTTGTGGTTCTCAAAAAATGGATTATTTTCCCGGCCCAAAAGGAGGATGAACCATGAAACTTAAGCGTTTGCACATAGATTTCCCATGTTGGAGTTGGATTTGATGAGTCCAATGATTTTTTTTTGGGACAATGATGATGAATCATTCCCACATGCTCCATGTATGTTATTTACCTACATAACTGGATGATTTTTAGGGCAAATGTTGATAAATATTCCATACGTGGAGCATATGGGATTGGCTGTCTGGAATACCCCATGTTCAAAGAAACCCAAAGCACACTCTGAAATCAAACGTGGATTGTCCCATTGCCGTGTTGGACAGAGGGATTCCCATTCTGAAATACTTGGGGGTGCAGTTGAGGATATTTTGATGGGTAAACCATGGGAATTTAAACATTGTAAACCCCCCAGAAGTTGTGATACAAGCCTAACAACTGAGATATAACCACTTATAGCGGGAACTGCACTTCCAGGTTATGTTGGGCAATATTAGAACTGTGCCCCATATCCATATCACCTTTGAGCAGTGGGGTAACTTCTGGCTGGCTTGCCGTGTGGTCGTTGGTATTTCTCAGGATTGAATCTGGGAATTGATACATAACAAATGGATACAAATGGAACTTACAGAAAACATGGCCAACATGGCTGAGCTGACTTGTGGCTCAGAGGTGGTGTCAGATCCCTAAGAAGCAGTGGTTGTTCGGCTTCCAATGCATCCGAGTGCTTGAAGGAGTTCTGCAACCAGCGCAGCGAACCGTTTTTTCAAAGCTTCTTGGTTGAAAATAAGCCCATTGAGTTGGACCCAAACAACACTGAAATGGGACATCATATGACATTGTAAAAATATATCATATATTATCACATATCTTTCAATAGTTCCAACAGAATAATTTCAACACAAGAGTGGCTGAATCATAATGAATCATGTCGCTGAAGAACCGAGGAGCTTATCATTTTACACTCCCCCAGCCCGGGAGCCCCCAAATGTTCGGGCCCCTGCTGGAGCTGGCGCCTGGACATCGTGACATAGCTGACTTTAGCAACTCAGATCTCTCAGCCCATTCCCGTTGTTTCGGAGGTACAACCCTCCAATAGTCATTTCATCCAATACTTAAATGGTACCCCCCCAATTAACCAGCCTTAACTGGGGTTTATTGATCCAGGGTTGACATTACATCATGTTGCTTGATTTATTTAGATTTATTTTAATCTCCAATGTGCCTGCTAGAATATCCAAGGTGGTTTTTGTCGCTGGCGCTGCCATTTTCGTTGATCAAATCGTGGCCTTAGCATCTTTGGCTGGATACCCGGCGCCTGGCAAAGGCTGCCCGAGGCTGCCCGAGTTCGGGCAGAATTTCCAAGGGCTGCACTGGTGTTTTCCCTATACTTTTGCCCAGTGTATTATAGGTATATTGCGTTCATGAGTTTTCATAGAGGTTTCATGGGATATCACCATAGTTTCTTCCCCAGCACTTGAGCATGGGATATCACTGATATCACCGACCTACGACTCAAGCCTGGAGATCTGGGGACCTGCCACATCAACGAAACCTGCCTGCAGTATCCTCGTCCGAATCAGCGAAGGGATCCTACCACAAGAGCGGCGCAACACGTTCCGGTGCCTCAGAATAGAGAAACCGAGAATCAACAGTAATGGTAAGATTGATTTATTTGAATTGGTGACTTTTAGATTTTTAGATCTTTTAGGGGGCTTAGCCCGGTTCTGAATTTGGGAATGTTCATAACATGATATGACACCTTTGCGTCACGGTATCACGGTATCGGAGAATCGTGGCATCCCATGGGGAGGCCCTGATGGCCATGGGTCAACGGCCTTGGCCGGCAGATTGGTAGAAGCCACTGGAGCTGCTTTGGACCTTGCGCAACAAGACTGGGTGAGCGGTACCTGAAAATGTTGGGAACCGCCCTCACAGCATCCCAGCTGGAGGAGTATAGCCTATTGCCATACACACTGGTATACTCTAAATTAGGGAATATAGTTTGGGATGTGTTGGAATGTTTTGGGAAAACCGGGATAAATAAGTTGTGTTAATGATGTTTAACTTAAGAAACAAGGCGGCTTGTGTTCCTAACAAGAGAATCAATGTGGCCACATCCGCCCCAAAGATGGACAGATTACAGAGTGAACAGCTTTCCTGCACCCTTGAATGACCCCAACTGATTTCGGATGGCTTACCCTCCGGCAATCAAACGTTGCAATGGGAACATCGAGCATTTTATAATTTTATAGATCTTTTTAGATATGTTTCCCATTAAAGCCTATTAAAACCTCCAGTTGACTTCGGGGATTTCCACTATCTTGCCATGTTTGGAGGGTAAAGCAATAACTACCCATTAATAAGTCAATAATATCCCGTAATATCCCCATTAATTATCTGGTTGGTGGTTTCAACCCCTCTGAAAAATATGAAAGTCAGTTGGAATCATTATTCCCAATATATGGAAAAATAAAACGTGTTCCAAACCACCAAGCAGTTATCCATTAATTATCCAATCATCATCCATTTTCAGAAAATGACCCAACCGAACTCCAACGTTGGTGTTTGGAGGTTGACTCCAACTGGGCTTGACGACTTCACCGGCTTTTTGCCCTGGAGAAGCTGAGCATGGCCCGTCGCCACGTGTGGCGCCATGACGCTCCATGTGGCCGGTATGATGTGGGTGAAACAATGCCATAAACCACCCATGACTGGGAAAGGTAAACATACCACCCACAAAATTGGCGATTTGGGGAATGGTGCAAATGGCATTGTTTTACCCACATGCTAAACTTGACCGCAAAATGTAACCCTTTCAATTTGGATATTTAGGAAATGGAGCAATTGCATTTGGGTGCTAAACAGCATAGGTATGATGCAACATTATGCAACGATGACATCTTGTTTCCAAGGTGGACACGTAGCCATCGTTTGCTTTGCAAGTAGAATTGTTTATACCTTGGCGACTGATTTGACCATCTTTGCCCCATTCCAAAACACAGGGAACTAGCTTCAGGCGGACACAAAATAGCACAGCCAATCTTGGCATTTTTTTCTTGTGTTAATGTATGATGATTTAAAGGTTATAGCCATAGCAACAAAACAACTATTTAAATGGTTCCATTCATTGACCCAAATCATGTTTTGATTCTCCTTCGCCAGAACCCCCTGCCATCTTTAGCGATCAGACTGTCATTATCTAAATCTACCATCCTCTGCTAGTTCACGATGGTTCGTTCTATTCAGTAAGTGGCTTCTACTCCGGTTCATAATTTGGAACGGTAGGTTTCGCCCGTTCATAAGCAGGTTTATGAAGAACGCCACACAACAAGCATATATAACTGTAGGACATATCCGAATGAACAACATCCCTTCGCTTATCTTTGCAGGAACATCTATCTGGCGTCATCCCTAACCATGCCATATACAGCAGCTGCACTGGCCTTTTTGGGGCCCTTCTTTGCCTCTTCTGCCTAGTGCATCATGGTGCAGCGGATATTTGACATCGGGTCCACATTCAGCCACAAAACCTTGGAAACATATCAATTTCTACGTTCTAATCTTGTTTTTAAAGTACTCTGCAAGGCTTGTACATGTTTTAACATGGATCCATGGGAGATCATGGGAGACCAAATCTTACTCATGGCCAATCTTGAATCTTTGGTTGGTGTGTTTATATCCCAGTTCAGCAGAGGATTCAAGTCCTGACTGTCCTAACTATTCATCCAAGGTTGACCCAGGAAATCTCCGGGCAAAATTGGCAAAAAAACATGCCTCTACAGAATCTGACTTCATTCAACCCACTTCCACCTTGGTTTTATAGAGGACATCTTCAGGACACTGCCAAATCATGTCAACTATTTATAATATATATTATGTTATAATGTTAAATGCCGGTTGTCCCTGGTTTATATCCAGAAATCATTACCATTCCCCAAACTGACGTTGACCACCTTAAAACTATTATCGTATATTATATATAACGGTTTCCTGAAATGGGGGTACCCCATGGTACTCCTAAATCATCCATTTGATTTTCGGATTGTCCATTATAAACCAACATAAACCAACATAAACCAAGCATTTTGGGATCCCACAAAAAACGACATCCCCATAGCGGCATAGCGGTCACACCTTCACAGGCGCCGCAGGCGCAGCCGCGGCTCCCTGGGGATGATTTTCCGCAGCACCAAAATCCCAAAATCTGTGGTTCCCCCGGATCAGTCGATTTTAGACATAGACATCAGCAAACCCAGTTTTTCATTGCCAGTTTTTTTGGCAAAAAATGATCCAAAATCTCTGGTTCCAGACATAGCACCGACATAGACTGCTGAATAAATCAGATATGATGCATGGTACTGAGAAATACTGAGAATCTAGGCACCAATTGGAATCCAGTAATCAACCTCACCCTCCAAAACCGGGTGTGTTGATTGGATGATTGGACCAACGACGAACTTTGTGAGTCTTTGTGGTTTGTTGTGTACCGCTCAATGTACCGGGATCATACTGAGGGATCATGCCACTTGAACATGCCGAGACCATTGTTTCCGGTTCAATGATAAATATAAATATATTATGATATATTTAGACGTCCTCCATTTTGGGAGATCCAGATTAGGGTTTCTCCAATCCACATATCCTTGCACAGGGGTTACTTGAGATGTGACCTCCCTAAAAGTTTTCAACTGGGTGAAAGAGGGATCGGGGTATACGGTATACAGATGTATACAGTACTTACACACTACAACCTTGTTGCTCTGGTGCTGTCGATTGATTGTTTGGACATGTTTGGACCCTGCATTCCCATTTTTTCTTTGTCAATCTTCTTGTGCGACCTTGTGTGCACATATCCATCACAAAAAAAACATGTGTCTCTGCTTTAAAGAACATCACATGTCCATCACAAATCCCCGTAGTTGGTGATGTCACCATCCACTTTGGGAGCAGGTCCTGGCCTCATCACCCACTGCTGTCAAAAGGATCCTTGGCAGCCTGGCAACTTGGTGGATGCCAAGATACTGTTTCACTCTTGGAAATGCAAGATGGCCCCCGTGCGAATTTGCCAATCACTCATCCACCAACCATTCAGCTGTTCACCTAGTTATAAACTATATACCCAAAGTCTCCCAAAGTCCATATATGTCAGAATTAAGGGTTTGGTCACCATCACCTCCACCGGCGGTGCCTTTGCGGCCGCGGCGGCAGCCGGCGGTGCCTCCTTCGCCTTGGGCTCCGGCGGCTCGGGCTCGGCAGCCTGGAAAACCAATGGGGAAACGGGAAAAACCCAGGAAAATCAGAACACTGGTGCTGAACTGTCCACGGTGAACTCACATCTCACGCGATCAGTGCAGCGTCAGCTGTCAGAGCCTCTGCGATGGTGTCCATTGGCCTGGGCCATCTCCATCATTTTCTTTCGAAATTGAGATGACTAGGCGGCTAAAATATACTAAGATACCCATTTACTACTGGGAGATATGGGAGATATGACACTTTCTTCCAAATTCACCAAGATGACCCATACCTAGCTCTGGGATGCTCTTGATCCTTTGGCTAAGTACGCAAAAGGATGTCTCAAATTTGAGGTACAGTACCGCTTGACCAAAGGAAAACTCGCTCGTCATAATATACAGTATGTTTTTTTGTTTGGGTAAGTAAGCGTGAGCCATTTCCTATCAAACATCCATGGCTGATCATGATATTGTCAAGGACGTGAAGGGCCAGAAAGTTCCTCTAGAGTTTAACATCATTTAACTGGGTTTGAGATGGTTTGAGGATGTTTGAGACTGAGGGAAACAATGAACCACTCGAAGTATTCGAGGCTCGCATAGGCTCGCCATGCTCGCCGGTGGGTTCCACTCAATGCTCATCTTCCACACCGGAATTTGAAAACAAAACATATTTTAAAGCACCAGCCAGCTAATCCGGGTTACCCCATTCTGTAGTGTAAAAACAAGGTTCCATTTTCCGAAAAAAAACATCCCAGTCCATGGCCCTGGGAAACACGCTTGACGCTCACAGCCCCGCCGTTTTGCAATGACTCGAAGTCGATTTGACTCATCCTGGCGCTGGCAGTGTGCAACCTCTGATCAGATTCTTTGGGGCTGGTACTTGTAGCAACGGATTTCCAACCGCAATGCCAAGGCCTCTTGCAAATAAGGTGACAAACTCAATGAATCTCAAAGCAATTCATGTGTGATTCACCCACTGCCATAGTCACCATCCCCAGTACCATCACCATCTCTTTTTATGGCATTGGGTGAATCCCAGATTAGTTACCCTATGGTAAACGTTTGCATAACTATGGAACATCACCATTTTGAGTGGGTAAATCAACTATTTCTATGGCCATTTAAAATAGCAAAGTGTTAGTTTGCCAGAGGGTATACCAACCTATCTGGGGCCCCGGTTGTGATCTCCGCACCGTGTCCGCACCTCACTTGGCCCTTCTGTTCCTAGGCGGTCAGGAGGTCAGGCGTGCCAAGTTTCGGACATGGCGAGCACATTGATACATTCCAAATCTCAATAAGTCTATGACCGGGGTAAATAACGGTAAATATAGTCTTATTGTGTGTTTATGAGTGTTATTCAATTCAAATCTCGTAGTCAGTACTTGTAGCTTTGAATGGACAAGTCATCGATTGAAATCGTCTCAACAAGTGGTGGCAGAAGGAACACGACCCTGCAACACTGCACCTGGAGCGCTTCAAATTCACAGTATGACAGATTCCGAACCCATCGGGTTTCTGGCGAATTCTTCTGGTACATCCAGCAGCAACCACTTTCTTTTTGCTGTCAAGCAATTCCCCATGTTGTGATTCTACCCCCAAACATTGGTTTTCTCAACCCTAGCTGCTTAAACCATTTACTGCAATTACCATCCAGTTTTGGGATATAATTTTCAATTATCTTGTCCCATCTTCCATCTCCTGCCTATGTACAGCTTATCTTTGGTGGTCGGACTTTGGTCAAACCATTCCGGCCGTAAGCATTCAGCATCCACTCGGCTGGGGCTTCATATGTGTCATTACATTGAGCATCAATTATTTACTGGTTGGTGGTTTGAACCCCTCTGAAAAATATTAGCCAGTTGGGATCATTATTCTCAATATATGGAGGAAAAAAATGTTCCAAACCACCAACCAGATTATGTTGGCTTCATGAACTTTTTGGAACAATTGAGCAGTGCAAATGTTTGGCAGTATAAGCCCTAGCATATGTGGTATAATCCCCATTAATCATAAACCAACAGGGGGTTCCAACACTGCTCGATTTGTATCTGGATCGATACAAAGGTGCCCTTCAAAATGATTCACAGGTTTTAGAAGAGGACATCTGAATATCCCCCCTTGCGATCATCTTGTTCGTGGTTCGCTTGCGGATGTTTGATGGTCAAATCATGTCCAATCCACCACTTTGAGGATGAAATACCTGCACATCTTTTTGTTACTGATGGTTGAATCCATCATGATCATTATGTCAATTATGTCCCTAATCCCAAGGGCCCCAACAGGCTGTTGAAATCAGCTATGGTTCACTGCTCCAAGGAGCCGCTTCTTTCTCATCCTCGGACTGGTCCTCCTGCGCAGCGGTGAAACCGGTTGAATTCTCCTCCGGTAAATTGACACATGAAAAATGTCCCAGAATTGTAGATCTTGTTCCTTGGGTTTCTTCATGGATTTCCATATTGTTTTGTTAATTTACCGGATTTAATCGGAGGGTGAAGGGGGATTTTGGCCGGGGGGTTCTCGTGTGGTTTCTTTTTAGACTCATATCGCAACATAAAACAGAAAAAGGGGATAAAACCACGCTGGTTAGGGGGAAGAAGGCAACAAAGCATCACAGCTCCTAAAATCTGTCCCTAGATCGTTCATCTGAGCTGGCTTTAGATTGGTTTTGCAGGAAAACCAACTGCGCAACGCATGGCTTTGCCAACCGCTCGCCTCCTCAAACCAAGACTCGTCCTTGCGGCAGACTGGAAAAACCCTCCGGAAATGGATGATGTGCTCGCCCCAGTTCTGGACCGATCCTACTGTCCAAATTCAAAATTTGCAGGTGGGATAAACAAATACAGAGTATATATATATATAAATAGTATAAAATTGATGATCCCAAAACCATCCATAACCCCTAATCTTAAATACTAGCCTAGAAACCCTGCTCTAGTATTGGAGCTATTCGATTTGGTTCCTTTGGATTGGATGATTTGGGTTTTCCGTCGGTATCAAACGCCACTACAAAAAAATATTCAGCACCAACAATAGATACTTATTCATAGAATGAACAGATTGTATCAGACCACCAACAATGGGTTTTGTCGTACCTTATTATACAGTATATAAGTTTATATACATGCTATATTGTTCATTGTTCATACGGAGAATGACCACTGTGCATGTCAAGAAAAGACCCATGGCCTAGTTGTCTTGCTTGTAATGGTCAACATCTCAAGATCTCTGAAGTCTGATTTTAAACCACCGTACACAGACCCTACACAGACCCACCTGTGCAATATGCTCAAGAGTGACTTGCCGCCCCTACCGACCCCTCCCAACAGAACAACGAGGAAAGAACCTCTCCCTGTTGGAGGTTTGAAATGCACCAGAACATGATTTTGAGGTTCATGCCTCCCCTCCAGAAAATCTTGGGCCTCCTATTCTTTCCAGAGGTCGCAGAATTGCTTGCAGGGGAAAGATGCAGGAATCCTCGCTCTATAATTATATTATTTCCATGTTGTTTCTATATTTCATGGTAAAAAATGGTACAAACCTAAGGTTTCCACGGGTTTCCTGTACATTTTCCTTTCCACCCAACCATTGATACGAAATCCACCTCTGTCATTCCACGGAAGCCGACATCAGCCGGTCCCTCCCCACCCGTCCACGGGTCCCCGCTGGTGACGGATTCTCCAGCAGCATGGCTTTGAAGGGTCTCGGAGGACGCCTCAGCTCAGGTGATCACCAGAGAATCAGGAATCATTGGGATTTCTACTAATATTGTACAGTTGTTTATACCAAATATGAAGGTTAGAGTTACTGTGTAAACTTCAGTTTTAATATAAAGGTTCCGAATCTATGACAGTTGTTTCACCAAATAAGAATCATTGGGCTATAAACTACAGTAACTAACCTTCATATTTGGTTGTCTTATGGAGATACACTGGGATATAGCACCAACTTCATATGTATTATGATGTCAATGTTTTTCGGTGTCTTTTGAGAGTGGGAATACTGAATACTGTCCAAATGGCCAATGGAAAATGGAAAATCATGATAAACCATGATAAACCATCGGGTTTGGATATCTTTTCATACAAACCCACATAGCCCCCCACACATTTACGGTATCACCAGAAATTTAACTCTTGGCGGGTTTCTTGTTGATTATGAGTACTGACCCATCCCCACATGTTTAAACGGTGAAAAATAGTGAAAGATCATCCCCTGGGCAGAAAATCAAGTCAACCAGCTCAAATGTGCACGCAACTAATTTCGACAGTTTAAAGCAAGGCTCATGATATTCTCGTCACAGAGCCCTTAAAAACCCTCATCTATTCCCCGATACAGGTTTGATTGAAATCTATATCCTATACCGTAACTGGCGGAGATCCGCCAACATTGCCTAACTGATGCAGCCACCGCAGTCCAGGTGACATGTTTTATTCCCCCCAAAATCATGCTGACTCTGGCTATCATCTTGGCATGGGAGATCTGGCTCCAAGTTTGTCCATCACCTCCTGATGGCCATTCATAGATGCCAAATCCCAAGCGGTTTGTCCATCCTTTGTGGCCAAATCAACGTCCGCACCAGAATCAATCAGCACCCGAACCACCTCCAGATATCCTCCGGCAGCCGCAATGTGCAATGGTGCTACGCCGGTTTTTGTCGCCTGATTCTTCTTGGCCCCAGCTTCAACCAGTACACGGACAGTTTCGAGATGTCCTCGTGCAGCTGCAATCCACAAAGGTGACATCCAGTCACCGTTCGCCTGGTCTTTTGCAGCGCCACATGCAACCAGCCAACGTACAATTTCAAGATGGCCCCTTGCAGCTGCAGATAACAGTGGCGTTTCACCAGTTTGCCTGGCTTGATCCTTGCTGACCCCAGCCTCAACCAGGAAGCGGACAATGTCGAGATGACCCTCTCGGGCTGCTAATCGCAAGGGTGTTGATCCTGCCAAAGAGCATTGATGCTTTCCGGCCCCAACTTCAACCAGGAAGCGGACAACATCCAAATGGCCTTCTATTACCGCAAGATGCAAGGGCGTATACCCGAGATGGTTGGCAAGATCCTTGTTGACCCCAGTTTCAACCAAGAAGCGGACAACATCAAGATGGCCTTCCCCAGCAGCATAATGCAAAGGCGTCAGCCCGCAGTGATCTGTCGTACGCTGGTCCTTGCTGGATCCGGCTTGAATGAGGAAACAAACAATGTTTAGATGCCCTTCCTGAGCTGCAAAATGTAATGGCATTTCCCCACTTTCCGTCGAAGGCTGATATTGGTTTGCCCCCATAGCTACAAGAAAGCAGACAACGTCGAGCTGGCCGTAAATGGCTGCGAAATGAAGTGCTGTCATCCCATCTGTGGAATGCTGATCCTTTTCAACTCCAGCTTCAACCAGGAACCGGACAACATCCACATGGCCATTCATAACCGCAAAATGCAGAGGCGTCATCTCGTGGTCTGGCGTACGCTGATTCTTGTTGGCTCCAACTTCAACCAGGAAGCTGACAATGTCAAAATGGCCCTCAAAAGCTGCCCCATGCAAAGGCGTCCTCCCATTTGAGTCTGGGGCATCTTTCTCTGCACCTGCCTCGAGCAGTAGCTGTAACGGTGTCGCATGTCCATTCTCAGCCGCATGCTGCAGCGGAGTCTTGCCAGCGCCATCTGTCACGTCTGTCACGTTGGGATTCCGTGGTTGTCGCAGCAACTCTTCAAGTGCAACTGCATCGTTCTCCCTAGATGCAGAGATGAGTTGTTGGTCTTGCTCCTCATCAGGCGGCCAAAAGTCCAAAATCACCAGCTGAACCGTGACAGAAGCCTGTGCAAAGACCGCATCATCTGGAATTCCGGAGCCATCTGAGCCCTCTTCCAGCAGCTTTTTCCGAAATCTGGTGATGCCAAACTTGGCCGCCAAGCACTGCTTCACAGACTTGGCCGACTTTCCTTCGAACTCCTCTGGATCAAGGAATGCCAGCGTCTTGCCTGAGACGGCGGAGCACACCTCCATGGCTGCAGCGCCAGACTATCTTTGAAAAGGACTCTTGAGGTATTGGCGCGTGACAAATTTTGATTATGTACATAAACTACCCCGATCTTTGACCTGCTAAAAAATTGTGCTCATTTACAGGGCTGATCGGAAGGACCTCGAACTTCTACAAACGGGTCCCGACAACTGGCATCGACAACATGGTCATGCATGGGAGTCCGCGAACCTGCAATGTCATTCTCCAAGTTCTATGGCACTTGCCCCATATGCCACAAAAACTGAGAAATAAACACAAACTCAAAAAGTGGGAATGAATGTGACCCACCAATCTTCATTGATTGGGGCCATTCCGGAGGCCATTTTGATATCTTCAAAACGCTTGGCGGTTTCAGTCACGCGAGGAGTGAGCAGAAGCGGCACTTGTGCCAGTCACCAAACCTGCATCAAGCCTCAAACCATTGAAATATATTGAAATGCTATCTGAGTGTGCCCCCAAAAAACTAAGTCCTGCTATGTCATATATATATACATATATAAATCCCCATGGTTATTATATATCCCTATTTTTTTCGGTAAGGCCCCCGTCCAAAATGTAGCTGCCTGGAAAATTTGCCCCTCATCATTAAAAATATCCACGGTGGCACGTTGATGTGCCGTAAGTCCCACTGTCAGACGGTGGGTAGAGGTTGTACAATGGACACCCACTAGAATCTACAGTAAAATCAGTAAAAGTTAAAAAGAGAATGGGATCATGCGTGTTCCTTGATTGCTTTAAAACCAACCGAATGACCTACCAAACAAAGGTTTACCCCCAGTTATCTTGGACTCAAAGGGCAATCGCATTCTCTTCAAAAATACCAGAGTTGTCCAGGTTTCAAAGTACGCGTACCCTTCATTTTGAGAAGCCACCAAGCTTAGAATCTTCCATACTAACTTCAAAATGTTGCACATGTTGATTAATAAATGTAGATCATCTTAGATTCATATTACTGATCGCCCCGCTGGCATCGGTCATTGCTTCACATCCCACACATTGGTATATCAAATGTCTATCCCTTGGTTTGGGTTCGTCCAAAGACTGGGGAACCCACATAAAAAATAGTTGTATCATGTTACATCAACTTAACAAATTTGATGAAAAAAATGATCAAAACAACCACTGGATTTTGTGGCTTTCCCATCATGTCATGTTCAGAGGACTCCCCTTTTGACATATTTCCTTCAAACCATTTATGTACGTGGATGATCAACCTGCTCAGTCACTGACTAGCTACTGCAACAGGCAACCAGGGAATGAGATATAACTACCGTCAATATCTTGGCACGATCCCTGGCACTATTATCTTTCAAACAATCTCTCTACCCATGATCGTTGTCTGTCGCACCATCATATTCTTCCTGGTAAAACCATGTAAAAACTTGATTTGAATGGCGAGCTCGACATGAGTTGCAGCATTCCATTCCATTTTCTTATCGGCTTCATAATCTTCATATTTCCTGTCTTAGATGTGGATAGATGTAGATATATGATATTCATTGATCAAATCCTCGTTGCTGTTTCAATGCCAAAATCCCCATCTTTGTGGGCTAGACTCACCGAATAATGCATGTTTCTCTACGACCCTGAAATGACATCAATTGGACTTTTTGCCAAGCCACATATTTGTCATGTGCCTGAAAAACTCTACAGGATCACCATGGATCACCACTTTCCGCGTTTTTCCAGGTCCCAATATGTCCCAATTGACATGCCACGTATGTGGTGTTTCCCCTGGACCTCGACCAATTCGACCAATCCTTCGGGCCTGGGGGCCCCGCCGAACGACTCCACTGCTTCACATCGGGGTCGTCTTTTGGATCGCAACCTCCGAGGCCGAAGAATTCCTGATGATAAACAAAATGGTATTTTTGAGGGTGTTGCCGTACGTATGTTCTATTTTTTTCTAATTTTATGATTCTATGTTTTTTTTTTTGCATCGTATGATACTTAGTGAGGTTTGGTTTTCATGGTTTTCATGGTTTTACAGTGGGATGGTATGGTGTTTCTTTCGTAACAAAATCCAGATGTTTTTTGTAAAAAAAATGGTGACTTTACACAACCCAAAAAATGAGATATTGGATATCCAGGGATATCCGTGGGACCACAAGATGACACGGCAAACAGTTGAATCATCAGTTGATGGAAATGGTACAAGGTGAGCAGTCACAGTTGGTTTATGAACCAGATATCCTCTATAGATATAACCAATTGGGGTTACCGATTAACTACAGTTGGTTAACTATAGACTACTAGATATATCCTCCGTATTATCCTCCATAAACTGGTCAGTTAACCAATTTACAAGTGATTTTAATCCTTTTGTTAAGTTCCGTCAACCGTGGTGAAAACAACAGTCGGTGGACTGCCAAAACTTAGCTTCTGGTAAAGCTGCAACTTGGTCCCTGTTCAATTTCAAGGTTAGGAACCACATTTTTTTTAGTTTTTTAGATGATTTCAGAGGTATTCACCAAAGATGAATCATATTTTTTCATGGATCAAGATGTGGTATCCTCTGGTAATCAAACATGGTTTACTGGAATAGTTCATTTTGGTTCGCTCGTTTTCCCTTTAAAACCTTCATTTGGATCAGGGATTTCCCAACCAGCCATGTTTAACACCAATTTATTTGGTGATCCCGTTATATTCCCATTCTATCCCAAAATAAATCAGCATTTATGGTTAAGTATCCAATCCCATTACCCTCTGATAATTTAACATAGCTATTGAACATGCCATAAAAATAGTTGATTTATATATACCTATTAACAATGTGGTTTTCCATAGTTTCTTGTATGTTTACCAGAAGGTAAAACAACATTTCCCCAGATCTCAATGATATCTCCATCCAGGTCCTCGGCTGGGTCCTCCAACCCGACCACCAATTGGCACTCTTTGCTTTCTCCTGCGCGGCCTCCTCAAAGTACCTCGCAAAACACCGTCGTTCTCAACGACACAGCGATAGCCACGGTTCCAGATCCAAAAAAATGATGGAAAACCCGTAGTTTCACGAGAAAAATGCAGACAACCGATTGCATGAGTTGATTACTGTGCCATTATTATACAACCCTATGATTGTCATTATGTAGTTAGCCATTTTTACTACTAGTAGATTCTAAATAAACATTAAACAGATTTAAATAGTGATATATTGTCTCCCTGTAGATCGAAGTCCTTCCTGAAAAGGCACCTACCCCACAAAACATGCCCCAAATTTTGCCTCAGAAGACCCTTGGATGAAGAAGGGTTGTATCTTATATTATTGTGATGGCAATAGTCACTACAGTCATACGAGTTATCATGTTCTCATCGAAGGAAGTTTAGAAGTCAAACTTCCGACAATATTGACAGATGGAAAAGCAGAGGTGGGAAGAGTCAAAGAAGAGAAGGGCAGAAGAGAGAAGATCAGAGAAGAGAAAGAGTCAGAAGAAAGAAGATGCAGGTGCGCGAAAAGGTAGGAAAGTTAGATAGCTAGCTAGCTAGCTAGCTAGCTAGCTAGATAGATAGATAGATAGATAGATAGATAGATAGATAGATAGTTTAGAAAGATTAGATAGATAGAGATAGATAGAGATAGACGACAACAACAACAACAGCAACAACAACAGCAACACCAACACCACCAACAACAACAACAACAACAACAACTGCTACTACTACAACAACAACTACAACAACAACTACAACAACAACAATTACAACAACAACAACAACAACAACGACAACAACAACAACAACAACTACTACTACAACTACTACTACTACAACTACTACTACAACTACAACTACAACCACACTACTACTACTACAACTGCAAATAAACTTTGCTACATTACACTACACCAATTACACGACACTACACTAATTACATCTAATTACGCTACACTACACAAATTGCACTACAACTACAACAGCTACTAGTAACACAGCTACAACTACAATTACAACTACACCACATTGCACTACACTGCGCTAATTACACTGCAGCACGCTACAACTACAAATACAAATGCGACTACAACCACACTACATTACACAACGCTACGCTACAGTAATCACATGACATTACATTACGTTGCGTTACATTACATTACATTAAATTCATTACACTACAACTACAACTGCAACATTGCAACTACCACTAAATTGCACTACGCGACACTGCAATAATTGCACTACGCTACACTACAGCTACAGCTACACTACCTTACACTACACTACACTAGACCACACTACACTTTACCAAACTGCAGTACACAACACTGCAATACACTACACTAATTACACAACTACAACTGCAACTACACTACACTAATTACACAACATTACAACTACAACTCCACTACACCACACTACAACTACAACTCCACTACAACTGCGCTACACCACACTACATCCAGCAGTTGTGGTGAGGTGACCACTGCAAACATTGCAACCACTCCAAAAAACACAACTCCAACCACCTTTCGGTCCATCAGTGGATTCGCTGTGCCATCCGTCATTCACAACAACCAACCTCTCCTATAGGTTTTCTATTTTTGAAACTTCCGCCACCGCCTTGTGCGGTACTACTGGTACTATTACAGTCAATTCCCTTCGATTGTCCGGATACATCATAATGATTCACCAACCAGAAAAGCGACATCACGTTGTGAGGTCGTTATAATGTATCCAGCTTCTATCCCCGTAAAATAATCAACATGAGTGGTTAAGTATATAACATGTTGTTTAAACAAAAACATCTGCGTATCCCCATCATGCAATCATATCCTCCCCCAAAAGTTGCTTCTGGTTCTATCCCAACTTTGTCGCCATAGGATCTCCTCCAGGCTGAGGAAAAAAACAATGGTGAACTGCAGCTTCTCCCAATCTTTTTGGAGGTTCTTTAAATATGTTCTTATACCATCTCGTACCGTATTTTGGATACTTTGGCTCATTGCCACCTGCTCCACAGGAGCAGGTTATCCTCAAAATTGCCTACGCAAAGCCTACGCTTTGCAGGTATACTCTCCCAAAAAAACACAGCTTTCACATGGTGAAAGCTGCATTCCAAATCTTTAAGAACCAGGAAACACCATCATTGGAAACATCAAACTTCCCCTCTGCTAGATGATTTCTCCGAAGCGGAGCACGCAGCTTTCTCCTCGTCCTTGGGTTCCCTCATCTTCTGCAACTTCCTCAGCAACAAAAAACACCGAACCACCAATCATCAGCGATGACCTAAGGCGTTCGCAAAGAAATAATATATGATTTTGGCTTTAACTGCCCATAACTATGGGGATATGGAAAAGAATTGTTCGTAGTTGATTGATCTTGATTGGGCTTACAACTTAGTAGACACATTTCACATCATTGAATTCTATCGAATTCCATCGAATTCCATGCAAAGCGTATGATGCAGTAAAATAGGACAGTCCGGATCTCTGTGATCAACGCTAGGATTCTCTTGGAGATCCAAGCGTTTTCCATGTGCCATCACCACATTAAAGTTGCCTCTCCTCTCCAACAAACGGAATCTGTTCATCAAACGGTGACACAACCGACGAAGTTCTGCCAGGACACTCTCGGGCTGCTGCAGGGGCAGACTGGATCTTCTTGGAATACTTGTTGATCTTTTCCAGCCACTTGTCCGCCTTGCCTGCCACGAAGCAAAAACGGCGGGGAACTTGGCACCAACAAAAATACGAAAACTATGGTCACCTTGATTGAAACTTCCCAATGATCAACAACAAAATAAACAATAAAAAACACACACACATTAAACATATATATATATATTTAGAAGAGAACGGAATATTTGAACTACCCGCCAATCCGAACTTTTTAAAGATTTTACATGCTGGATTTCGCCAACCCACAGGATGACCACCCCCCGGAGTGCCTTTTTCAGCATCATCATCAAAGGAGAACTGCGGAGCTGTGAGCCATGCCCGAAAAAAAACGAACCGAAGCTCTACCAATAGCAACGCCTTGTTGAAAATAAACCATGATGGATCCGTATCTACTATATTTTATGTATATTATATAAAATGATACTAAATGATTATATATGACCCCGTAGACCCAATCACTTCCTAGCTGCCCCTCATTCATTTCAAGTCATGATGAGTAATCCCATCTAAACAGGTAAGGCAAATTATTCAATTGGCTATTTTGAATCATCCTCAGGTTGCTGGCCATATTATACTTGGGGCAAATTATCGCAAGAAGAACATCTGATCAACAGTTCTGTTGTCAAGAATGCCTGAAGGTCAAGAGCAGCAATGTGCAGCATATCCAAAATTATCCAGAGAACTTTCTACAAAACAGGACGATCAGGACGACTTTCTGCTGCCCGGCCTCTTCTTCCCGTTCGCCCTTGGCAGCCTTTTTCAAATCGCTGAGAAATTGCATGGCCGCCTGTGGCCTGGGGAGGGGACAGGCAGTCTGTCACATGCCAAAAAAACAAACGTAACATCAGCATGGATTCGTTGTTTTTTGTTTTAATCTGTGTTGAACAACATGTCATGACACTTAGACCTACAGTAAATAAACTGCATAGTTTTTGGCATGCGTTAAACATAGGGACCACTCACGAGCTTTGCCAAAGACCTCTCTCATCCCTACTGGTGGATAATCCACCTTAGCCTAGTAAAACTATAATCTAGAATAATTAGTATATCCCCATTTGCTGGTTGATAGGGCACCTTAACCCGGCTAGTTTAATTATACAATTAGATGCAATTGATCAATTTCATTGTTATAGTTCGTACCATCAACCACCAGGGATATGGCCTCTACTCCAAGCCATCCATCGACGCGTGCAAATTCTGGTGGTGTGTTGCACAAACTTTACGTGGAACTGTGTCTGTGGTGAGTCCACCAGAATGAAGAGCAGAACAAGAAATTGCAGAACAAAAAAAATCGGTCCAAATCATCGCCGGAGCTATCACAGGACTGAATTACAACGCCAGAATTGATCGATCTGACTGGTTGTTGGCACCATGGCAATGCTTTCATTATATATTAGTACCTGGTAACCCTCCAGATTGCTTTTTCTGCTCTGTTTTAAGAAAACGTGGTTTTTTGCCATTTTGAACGCAAAAAGTGCTCTGGAACGTTTTTTTCCAATCCGAACGCTTTTTTACGCTCTAGAGGTGTTTTCCTTGCAAAATGACTAAATCATAACATTTGGCATGATATCTTACGATGGCCTCCAAACTCAAGCTGACTGGCTGTTGTTTGTAGAAAACACCAATATAAAGCTGATGTGTATATATATATATATATGTATAGTCTTATAGAGGGAAACAACTGCAGGCTATCAGCTTCGCCAAGCCAGCATGATCTGGGTAAGGTACCGGTTGAAGGTACGCAATGCCATCAAACGAGGTGATACATGTCTGGTTATGTAGGCAGCATGCCCAATAAAGTCCTCATCCAGACTGCAACTCTCTACCATTGGATTCAAAACCCATTGACTGAACTTGGCTTGGTGTTCCATGAGGAAAAGAATCTCTTCCAGTGGGTGAATCTTTGGAAGCAGGGGAAATTTCATCTGACCTTTCTCACGCGATCTAGCAGGATTTGGGATTGTGAGGCTTATACTGCTGAAACAAAAAACCAACCACAGGACTGAGACGTTTGCTTTGCCAACGGAAAAATTATATAATTGCCAATCAAAAGCTATAAATGCATGCACATCCCAGTCAGTAAAACTGATGTAAATTGAAAAGGGATATATGAGTCTCAAAATACCTTCAAAATTATGGTGTAACCTCTAGTACACTGCGGTAAAATCTTTTCCAGCACGTCAACTGCGGATAGTAAATCTGAAAAGGGTCAATGTTTTGAATCAAGTTTTCCCAGAGTGGTCCAGGTGACTTTGGGGACGGCATGGTTTGGATCTTGAAAAGTCTTTCATTTTACGTAAAATTTTGCGTAATGTCGAACGGTTTCGAACGGTTTTCGAACGGTTTTCGAACGCTTTTTGAACGCTTTCGAACGGGTACGCTTTTTTTACGCAATTGGATTTGAACGGTAATTTCCAATCTGAACGCTTTTTTTACGTAATTTTACGTGTTTTTTCAATCCGTTTTTTCCATTTTTTTAGTTTTTCTTGATTTTCTCTTTTTTTTGTGGAAAACGCAAAACCTGAAAGTTCCTGTTAATTTTCCATTGTGGGTCAAAAAATCCCAGATAGCCACCATTCAAACCATGACAAAAGTGACAAAGCCAATATTTGGCAATCCATGGGTGCTCCCGGGTCAACATGCCCCCCTGACCATTCAGAAAAATGAAGTTTACAATTTCAGGGTTCCCTGCAGCTGCCTACCTGTCCCTCAAAACCATTTGATCGAATATATGTAGGCAGTGAAATTGTTTCAAAGCATTTTGTTGGTATTTAGGGTATACCTTTCCCCATAACCACTCTGATCAAACTTGATCACAGTCTTGTTGGAAAGCATTGCTTCCATTCCTCCGGGAGCCGGAGGTTGACATTCCCACGAAGGTATTTAATTACCTCTATGAGTTTGGCCTCAGACCAATCAGACCATTCATAATATATATAAATTGAATTTGGGAACAGGACATGTAATTTTGTGCCTTGGTGCGCTATATTATTGTTTCTCAATCCCACATGTTGATGATTACATATATATATATAGTGTATATGCATGTGTTTGTATGCATGTGCAATTTTCAGGAAACCTCTATGTATTTTTAATATATATATATATATACATACATATATGTATATATATATATATGTATATGTAAATATATACAAACATCTCCCTCTATACAGTTATGTTCACCTGAGATTGGAAATGATATACCCTAAAGACCCAAGAATAGCCTCGAACGGTAAAAAGTGCTCTAGAGCACTTTTTTCTACACTGTTTGCAAAAAACCAGGTTTTCTGGAAACAGAGTTGTTTTTTCCAATCTAAGGGTTTAGCAGGTATAATCATCATCATTTATATTTATATGTATATTGGTGCTATCTGACTGGTTGTTGGCACCAGGATTTTTTCAATAATGATGTTGGTACTGCTTCAAGTCTGATGTCAAACCACCGAGAGCATGGTCGTCATGGTCATCTCATTCCGAATATTCTCGAACGTCCGCTGGAGGGAAGGAACGACCGCGATGGCGCAAGAATGAGGACAATACCTATGTCATACCATCTGGTTGTTTAACGTAGCTATGGAAAATCACCAGTTTTAAGATATTTGAAGTTAGAGGTAAAGCATCATCATAAATATTCATAATTCATCTATAAATGGACCATTTTCATACCCCAAAAAATTGACCTGGTGGGGTTGAGGCTTCAGATTTTATAGACACATTTCCGGAAAACACCAAAACAGGCTCTACAAAACCAAAAACATAGCATTTGAACAGGAACCTTTCAGGCCTACAATATCCAAACGCCCCCACTTTTACTGGGACCAGGGGCAGCCGGCGCTACAAAATCCTCATAGAAATCCACCTGCTATAGGCACTAAAAACTTGGTTCAAATACACCCTCAAAAAATCATCCCAGAAACAATTGGATTTTTGTAGGGAAACCACGAGAAACGTGTGTTTGGGGTCTAAAAATCAACAAAAATCACTGTTGGATTTTGTAGAGGCCTGGTTTCAAATTCTTTGTCGTGGTTTCAACTTTTCTGCCGCTTCGTTGTCGCACTTTGTGTCTGGTCTTGTCTTTGACATTTTCAGCACGCCCATGCATATTGGTGAATCTATATAGGTCAAACCTCTTTCAAGACCTATCTATCTATCCATCCATCCATCCATATATATATATAAATAAAGACAAACAGATAGACAAATAGATAGACAGAGAGATAGATAGATAGGTAGGTAGATAGATAGATAGATAGATAGATAGATAGATAGATAGATAGATAGATAGATAGATAGATAGATAGATAGATAGATAGATAGATAGATAGATAGATAGATAAGTATATAGATAAATAAATAGATAGATTAAAAAATCTATAATGAATCAAAAAATGTTTGAACAGAAAGGTCAACTATTTATGAAACCAATTGAAACCATATGAAATCAAATCAAATCATGGTTTAGCCAATTTCTCTACAAAACCAAAAACATCTCACAAAATCTAAAGCATGACCTCAATGTCCTGAAGACCCGAAACACTACAAAATCCAAAAACATGGCTTAAGGTGTCCTCTGAAGTGATCCCAAAAATGTCCCTCTAAAAAATCAAAAACCTGTTTGGATATGATTCTAGAAACCCAACCATTTCCCACAAAACAATGTGTGCCAAACGTTAACGTGTTAGATTTTGTAGTTTTTTTTTGAGGTACCCATTTTCAACAGCTATGTTAAATAGCCAGAGGGTACCTGAGAATCCTTTCCCTTGTCGCCTCCCAGAAAGCCAACCTGATGGTTCAGTCACAGACCCCCAAAAATCCCAAACACATGAGTTTAGTGCAGTTTTCCTGAACAAGGACGGAAACTAGCATGTCTTCATGTCCACAAAAGTATTCACAAAAAACATCAAAAAACCACCAATGTGCCAATGATATCCGACGTTTTGTTTTGGGTTGATTTCTTTAGATGCTATCTGACACATCTGGCAGCCACAACATGCGCTAAGCATGCAGTATAGATCTGGGAGACACGAGACAATCTTATACAATCTTCATCTTGGATGCGATGTAATTAAGAAAGAGTTATGAAATTAAGAACAGCAAAGCACACCCAACTACTCCAGAAGATATCGAGCTTGTAGAGAACAACATGAACACACTCATGCACAATGACTGCAACGCGCACTGTTTCTCTGTTTGTCGCGCATCGAACATCAAACAACATGATCAGCACTTTCATCTCCATCGTTCCCACCATCAGCACATATCGGCACCATTCGGCTTGCCAAGTCTTGCTGATGCACCACATGGCTTCATTGAACTGCTCATCTCGTTCCACTGTTAGCTGATGAAGTCCCTATTGCAAGTCTTTTGTTGGCTTTCATACCTAGATCCTAATTACTTCCAGTGATGGATGTTGCTGGCTAGATGGATATTTTTTTATGCCCAAGTTCATGGAATTCCGCAACCTTGGAATCACCCAAAAATTGGAAGATTTTTTGGATGTGTCAACAATGAAAACATCCTATTCCTGGTGATGTTTACCGATGTTTACCGACCAGGGTATCTCTGGTGAATCTCCATGATCCATTGGTTCGCTCTTGGCGAACCCTCAACGCGCTTGCCCGGGCATCCGGCATGATCTTCGAGCCTCGCCAAGTTTGGGTTCAGAACCGCACCTTTCGATATGTCTCTATAAGAAATATAATCATCAGGGGACTTCACAAAAGATTCACCATGAACCAACAAGATAGTCTCCATGTTGGATCGTATATTTCAGCCCCTTTTTTACCGTAGGGATGACATGGTTCGTCACCATCCCATCAGCATCCCACCTGGTCTCGTCCGCCGCGTCACGCGTCTGTGTCTCGCCCGTTGGAGGAACACCATCCCTCAGCGTATCAAAAGTTAATGGGGATCATCCCAGCCGAAGTTTTAAAACACCAGCTGCCCATGTTGAAACACACGTCATCACGAATTTTATGGTGGTTTCAATGCTCGTCAATGGGATCATCATCCCAGTCCTGATGGAAAAGAGCAACATACTCTATTTGGGAGTGTCTGAAGATGGTGCATGATCCAAAATTGCAATGTTAGCACTTCCTAGGGGACTTAGCACGGTCAAAACGCAGAACTCAAAACGCGCGTTCCGGAACGCACGTTCTGAACACAGGGGGGGTTCTAGTGGTTTTTGGCTCCAGAAGCCTTCCAATCCTTTTTTGTTCCTTGCAAAAAGGATCCGCTGTGTCACATAGAGTTTTTCAACACTTTTTCAAATTCTTCTGGGACCTCTGTTAATAGCACTATTTGTGAGAGGTCAG